CGATACTGGAAGATACACTGCTGACAGCTCGTAGCCGCACTTAGAGCATACATAATGATCATGTAGAAATTCCGAACTTGGATCTCTTTAGCAGCGCCATCGACTTCAAATTTGAATTTCGCATTTTGGTCTCGACCGAGCACTTCTCGCGTCACATCGCCGATATGCTTGTGCACCCCCTCAAGTGCTCCTCCAGGGCAGTAGCCTCAAAGCTGTTGTCACCCAATGCTCGGAAAAGGGTGACGTAGCCACCAGATGCATCCAGGTCCTTCAGCTTCCGCAGATTCGGGTCAGAGTTCCACAACCGGGCCGGGGAGGATGGAAGTGGCTCGACAAGAGCTCGCCTAGCTGCAGCCAGACATGGCCTGGTGGTCGCTGGAGTACAGAAGGCCTGAATGCTGTATAGGAGGACAGTCACGGTTGAGGTTAGTGTGCGATCTCACCTTGGTGCAGATAGCACAACGTACGTGCAAATCTGGCCTATCAGGGACGACATTCTGGCAAGTGTTGCAAGACACATGCAGGGCGTTTCGAACGCACCGGGAACTGAGAGGAAGTTGGCAAATGAAGCGCTCTCCGCCCGATTGGACTTACCCCGGTACAGGGTCGAAAGAATGGCAGTAGCCACAGACTGCACCCGGTACTTGGTGGAACATACCAAAGGCCACTGAGGACAAATAGTGAGGGATGACCGCTGAGATGAGTGCTACTAGCCAGGCCTAGCCCCACATCATCATCAGGAGAGGAATACTCGTCTTCATATTCATCATATTCATCATAGGAATCATAGTCGGTGTAGGATATGTCACTACGGCCTACCGTCCCCGCCGAGGTGGCAGAGCCGTGAGCAGCCAATAGGAAGCCACGATTCACTTTACCGAGGTCGTAACTTCACAAGAGAGAATGTGGATGAGCAGAACACGAACAGTACTCGTTTTTCAGCAGAGTGTCCGAATCGTCCGACTGCCGCTTATCCTGATCCGATCGTCTATCTAGACAAGGACGGTTAAAGATCAGGAAGGAATGCACATACGGTACCTCGAATCTTGTCACCCTCCACAAGCTTCTCTGTAAGGTTGACCACAGTGCGATTGGGCTTCACACTTCTCACTCTAGATCGGCACTGAGGGCAGTCGGTGTGGCGCTGTAACCATTGGCTCAGACAAGACGAACAGAAATTGTGTAAACAGTCTAAGACCATCACCGGCCGATACATCAAGTCCTGAAAAGACATCCTCAACGACCACGAGTCAGCATAAAATAGGTTCACCTGGCAGATAGCACAACGTAGTTCCTCAGCGATCTCCTCCTCGCCTGGTAATTCCGAAGAGTTCGAGTCCCTCCTGCGCTTTTGCCCTGATAGCTGCGGAGTCGTCGGTTGTTGTGCAGACTGGGTCGACGGAGCAGAAGCGTCACCCAGGATCAGTTGATATCCCAATATCGGGCCTGGCAGTTATCATAAATTCACCCAAAGTTCACCGCGACACCCTACCTCTGTTGGGGGGGAATAGAAATATCATCTCGCTGTCAGCGATGCAGGACACCCCACTACGGCCAACCTTACGGCACGTCTGCAAAGTCCTACCTACATACGTCCCACCGCGACTCCGATTGCTAACGATCCAACCAGCA